AACGTCCTTCGTCGACCGCCCACCTCCGCTTCCACCTCCACCCGGCTTCCCGCGCGGCCCCTACTGTTGATTCGGCTTCATTGGGGTGGGGCAGCTCGCTTGCGGAAGGAGCTCTGTGGGTTGCTCTGCCTCCTGCAGAGCCTCGTCTTTGATGACGTAGCTGGTAAGGGAGTCCCCGTCAAGGGACTAACGCGTGCCGGGCACCATCATCATCCTCTTCATGAGGTTGTAGCTGCGCGGCAGGCCCTTGACGACGTGGGTGATGAAGGACCCCTTCAAGTATTGGACCTCGTCCTCGGGCGGAATTGGCGCGGTGCCGTCGGCAAAGCCTTTCAACCCGACAACCTCCAGCTGAGGTTCCATTGCCTCCCTCCCGGTGATGAGGTCTCGTCAACCTTGCAGAGGTGTGGCGGTGATTTTGTGTGCTGTGAATTTGAAATAGCCATACGCTTGAAATGGCCATACGCTTTAAATGGCTATACGCCGGCTCGATCATGTCCGCCGTCACGTGCGTCGTCGCCGAGAGCCCCCCACCACTTCGTAGAGGAGAGCGATGCCGTCTGTCGTCGTCGGCACGCGAGCTGCCTACAGCCGCCGTCGATCGCTGCACTCGCGCCTCACTCCTGTCGACGCCATCGTCGACCTTGATCACCCTTCTCTTTTTCGTGCCCTTGATGTCGCTGACTCGTGCACCACCGTCGACCTCGTTGTTGACGCCACTTTTGTTTCGCACCGGTCGAGGAGATGCAGGACGAGAAGGGTGCTCCGTCGCCCACGCGCCCGGATGCCCAACTCAGCGATCGTCGAGGGGATCGTCCCGTACTCGCCATCCTCATGGCGTTTCCTCGTATCAGCCAAATATGCCTCCAAGGTGCCCGCTACACCCGCTTCAACTACGGGGTCGACCATGGCGACTAGAACGGGTGCTGGCCTACGAACAAATTAGTAGGTGCAAAAGTCGGCTCCTATCTGAAGGTAATCTGCGAGGTCGTCCACGCTCACCGCACCATGCAGAGAGTGACTCTACAATAGTCGTGAGCTAGACTACGGGGTGTTGGCACGAGCTTCTAGGAGTGATCGTAGCTTTGCTTAGCTCCTTAGCGCTCGCACATTTACGGGAGAAATTGGCAAGATTTTCCACTAGCAGAGTTTGAGAATACAGAATGATTGAACTAGCAACACAAGAATGACTACATCAGAGCACCTAGCAACTCTGCAGTTAGCCTGGTCGACTGCCAGCACAGCATGTTCGACAGCCTGCCAGCGTTGCGTAGAGGAGCCAAGCCACCATTGCAGAAACGCGACCTGCCAACACAGCAGGTCGGCGGCGTGCCAACGCTGCAGCAGATCGGCTGTCCAGCGTTGAGCGCGTAGAAGACAACTGTGCGCACGTCTGCATGTGCACGCAGACGATTGACCCGACTTGCACCGTTCTGCATCCATAGGCCCTGGTCAGCGCTTGACGAGCCACATCAACTTCGGGATACTAGCCTGAAGTCGCCTTTGTCATCGCGACCTTGACAACGTTCGCGTGCCTCCGTCGAACTCGCCGAGCAGGTTACCCGGTCAACCTGGTCCACCACCCATTGCTCTGGTCGACGCCTCCCTCGTCGACCACAGCTCATGTCGAGGAACACCCTCGTCAACGTACCCTCCCCTCGACCAGCACTGTCAGCTGCTCCTCCTGGTCGACAGCCGGTCCGTCGACTAGCTCGGCCAGCTGCAAGCGTTGAGCCCCCTTGGTCCACGGCTCCAACCCCCCGACCGTTCTCTCCAGGTCAACGACCACCAGATCAACATGCCCCGGTGAAGAAGGCCGTCGAGCTCCCCTAGTCCACGGCAACATCGCAGTGCTCCCTTACAGCTCGAAGAAGCCGGTCGAGCAACTCCTTCACTGCGTACGGTCGGCTCCTTCTCCCGTGCATCCGAACCAGGACATCGGCATCACTGAAGAAAGGGCAGGGCCAACACTCCAATCCAGTTAATAGGATCAACAGTTACCGACCCTAGAGTTTGCTTACAACAACGCTTTGCATGCGGCCATAATAAAAAACACTCATTTCCTCCTGTGCTACTGACGGGAACCGCTTACACCACAGCAGCCAACCTCACTGGCACACGTCCAAGCTGCAGACAACTTCGTCACCACCATGCAGCAGCTATGGGAAAAGGCTCGGTGACATCTCACCACGATGCAGATCTACCAGAAGTTGTATGCCAATCGACAACGACGTCATTACTCGGTAGTAGTCGGAGATCAGGTGCTCCTCGACATGCGCAACTTGGACTTGTCCCAACTACCATTCAAGCTTCGGCCTCGCTTCTATGGTCCTTTTCACGTTGAGACACAGGTGACACCAGTAACATTCTGCTTGCGCTTACCTACTACGTGGAAGCTTCACGATGCATTCCATGTTAAGCTACTGAAGCCCTACAAGGACCCCAACCAACAGATCCAAGAACGGCAGCTACCGCCACCAGCACCTGTTCCCGTACAGGATGCAAAGTACGAGGCGAAACGCGTTCTCACTCATCGGCGCCGCAGTGGCAAGACCCTCGAGTTCCTGATACGCTGGAAGGGATACGACCCATCTGAGGACAGTTAGGTTGCAGAAGTTGATATGGCCAACGCACGCCGTGCTCTCAAGGATTACCTTGTCAAGGAGGGTGTTTCTCATGCCACCCAACTTTGAAGGGGGGACATGTGAGAGTACGACAGCTTATGCTGGCCTTGCTAGCTTGACAACTGTACAATAGTTTAAGTTTTTTGTGTCTGAACACTTGCACTAGGGATGCCCGATTGATCCTAGGGAAGGGTTACAGGCACGTTGGCCTGGGGGGGTTATATGCGCACTCACCCGCTACACAAACAAGCCATTTTATCCCAGTGGTCTAGTGACTGGGTTTCTGATATGGTATCAGAGAGGTCTCAGGTTCGAACTCCCATGTGCGCACTTGCTGGCGGGGTCGCTGTGCCGTGTCCTATGGCATCGCAGTGAAAGGGGGTGTCAGAACACTTGCACTCGCGATGCCGGATTGATCCTAGGGAAGGGTGGCGAATATTGTACCTGGGCGAATCTGCAATGGCCACTGACAAGTCAAGCCCGAACCACTTGCATCCAAATGTCAGAAACCCAGTCACTAGAGCCTGGGGGGTTATGGGCGCACTCACCCGCTACACAAACAAGCCCATTTATTTGCACTTCAGATTCTCCCGGTCAGAGCATATTCGCCCTAGCACAAGAAATTTGTCCTGACACTGATAAGAGATTCGCCCAGACGCGCTAGATCTGCTGTGTCAGAGCTGTTCTGTCGCAAATCCCCTCAGCACGCTGCGCCTCGCATGACACCACAAATATTCACCCCACTCCAGCTTCCATGCAAACATCCACCCCACCTTCCCATCTGGGTGATACTTGTCGGTATTGCATCAATTCTGCGTGTGAAAGGGCTCCCTCACATGGGTACAAGTGAAATCATTATAACGCACTGGTGGGATATCTGGACAAAATTTTTTGAAAGCTTCGTCGATAACGTCTCATTCAGGGTCTACAGGATGCGTAGTCACTATTGACTGTCAAACTTATATGCTATAGTCTGTGTAGGCTGTAGTGGGATAGACTATATGGGGTACAACATTTCTAGGTTTTCCTACTTGTACTAGCACCAGCAGCACCTCCAACTCCAACAGCGCCAACTCCAGCACCCTCAGACGCACCAAACTAGCAGAACCACAAGCGCCAACACCCCCAGTAGCTCCAGCTCCAGCAGCACCAAATCCAGCAGGACGGGCAGCTCCAGTACCGCCAGCAGCTCCAGCACAAACTCCAGCAGGACGAACTCCAGCAGCCCCAGCAGCACCCCCAGCCCCAGCAGCTCCAGTACCACTAGGACGAGCACCTCCGGGACCAGTAGCAACAGTAGTACCTCCAGCTCCAGCAGCACGGCTCCAGCGCCGGGCAAACCACTCGCGCAGCTCCTGCGGAGAGAGTGGCTCCTGCCTCGACGAAGCACCGCGAGAGGCCACACGAGCAGACCCAGCACCCCCAGACTCCGCACCCCCAGGCTCAGCACCCCCAGGCTCAGCACCCTCAGGCTCCGCACTCCCAGGCTCAGCACCCCCAGACTCAGCACCCCCAGGCTCAGCACCCCCAGACTCAGCACCCCCAGGCTCCGCACCTCTAGACCCGGCACCCGCAAGCTCAGCACCTCTAGCACCACCAGAGTCAACAGCTACCTCGACAGGCTCGACTGCGTCTACCTGGGACACACCTAACGGGGCAGGACCCTGAGGGGGGAGGGGGTCTACCGGGGGAGGACCTGGCGCAAGGAAGAGCGACGGCGGGGGGAGGGGCGCAGTGCGGTAGGGGAAGAGACGGTAGTAAGGCACCGACTCGTCAAAGGTGACGTCCTCAGAGGACGGAACACGGCGCGAGGTGGGGTGGTAAAACTGCCACCCAGGAGCGTCAGGGGGGGAGCCAAGGAAGACGCAGGAAACAGCACGGGGGGACAGCTTGTCCGCAGACAAGTCTCGAACAAACGCCCGAGATCCCCAGACCCGAAACGCAGACGCATCGCCAACCTTACCCGTCCACCGCAGGGTGGGGGAGGTCTATGGCAAGGAGACCCGGGGCTGAAGGTTGAGCTGATGCGCTGCATACTGAACCGCAAACGGCCAAAAAAAATGGGGAGCAACCGCATGGATCATGGACGTACGAGCGACGTCCATGAACATGCCAATGCGGCGCTCAGCAACATTTCTAGGTTTTCCTATAGGACCCCCAAAGGGGTCCGCCAGGGAGATTGCAACCGGCCGACTAAGCGGCGTAACTATGGTGCGGTCTCGAAAGAAGGAGCAGGAAGCACCCGAGTCAAGGGTGATGGTGTGTAAGGCCTGAGCTGACGTGGTACCTGAGAGAGCAGACTCACCAGCACCTGGGGCAGCAGACGCACTAGCACCTAGAGCAGCAACCTCACCAGCACCTAGAGCAGCAGCAGTCTCAATGACCCGGGTCAAGCGGAACATACAGGTAACAATCACCCTCATCACTAGTAGACACAGCATACATGGCAGCAAGAATAGCATCATAATCAAGATCAAAGATAGCAACCCCAGCCCTAGACAGAACATCCGAGCGAGGGATCTCAGTGGCATCAGGGAACTGGTGACGCCACGCGTTCGTCAGGCGGCCAAAGCAGCGCTGGGTGGAGTGCAGGCCCCCGCACTGCTCACCAGCACGGTCGCCTATACGGAGGACGTAGGTGCAGGGAACAGTACCCCCACCTGGCTGACGCCCAGCGTACCACTCACGAAGCTGCTGAGGGGACAGGGTCTCACGACTCCGCTCCTGCTGCTGGCGCTGACCACCACCGGACCCACTCCTCTGCGCAGAGCCACGACCAGCTCCACCGCCTCCGCCGCCGCCTCCGCCACCTCCGCCGCTTCCGCCACCTCCGCCGCCTCCGCCACCTCCGCCGCCTCCGCTCCCTCCGCCACCATCGTCGCCTCCTCCGCCTCCACTGCTGCCACCGACGCCTCCACCCCCGCCACCACTCCCACCACCACCCCCACCCCCTCCACTGCCTCCACCACCACCTCCACCGCCCCCGCCAGCCCCTCCAGCGCCCTTGCCCCCCTTGCCCTTGCCGGTACGGCGTCTCCCGCGAGGGGCAGACGCAGCGCCGACCGACTCGAAACCAACGAGGTCGGCCGCAGTAGCAGAAGCAACAGAGGGCAAAAGGGGGGAGGGGGAACACCCTTCAAAGACGGAGGAGCGAGGGTCACCACGAGAGGCTCCTACAGCGACTATGCTCTACTCAGCTGCTAGGAGGCGCTCCTCGAGGAGGTCAACGGTGAGTGTGGTGGGGAAAACTGAGAGGAAGTGGTCGCTGACCAAGCGAAGGGAGTCAGGGAGCCGGGTGACTATGTAGTAGAGGGTGATGTACATGGGGGGGGGGGGTTCTTGGCACAGAACTCAGCAGGAAGCGCAGCGCGGTAGCAAGTGTCACTAGTGCTGAGGTGCGTAATGAGGTCAGCGACTGTGGGAAAGGCATGAAGGTCAGGGAACAGGTACGGCAGCATGAGGCGGCTAAGTGCAGCAGTGGCAGGGGAGGAGTAGCGTGCAACTACAGCGTCGTACAAAGTATTAGCACTCTTGTACTCGCTAAAGTGCGCACGCTCAGCGGTCGATAAGTGGCGATCACAGCAAGGCGGGCAGCAGCATCGCGTGTGGCCCACTGTGAGCGAACAGTACTGTCAGCAATAGCAGGCGGGGCAGGAGAGACACCAGAGGTGAGATGGAACAGAGAGAGTTCGTCTGCCCTATCGCACTGGAGGAACAGCTGGAGGTTATCGACCCAGACCTCAAAGTCAACAGCACGACCCTCAGCATCAAAGGTAAGGACACTGCGGGTAGCTATGACTGCAGTGGCCTAGCAGGGAGTGATCTCACCAGTCCGAGTAAGTAGGGCCGGGGCGCGCCGGTAGGAGCAGTGGGGGCTCGACGGCAGGGCGGCTCGGCGGCTCGGCTGCTGGGCGGCACGGCGGCTCGGCTGCTGGGCGGCTCGGCGTCTCGGCTGCTGGGCGGCTCAGTTGCTGGGCCGCTCGGTTGCTCAGCGGCTCGGCTGCTGGGCGACTCGGCGGCTCGGCTGCTGGGCGGCTCAGCTGCTGGGCGGCTCAGCGATGAAGGAGCCGCTAGGGGCGGCGACGAGGCCGCGTAGGGAGGGGAGCGGCGACGGGGCCGCTAGGGGCGGCGAGGGGGCTGCGTAGGTAGGGAGGCGGCGACGGGGCCGCTGAGGGCGGCGATGGGGCCGCTAGGGGCGGCGACGGGGCGGCGTAGGAGCGGCGACAGGGCCGCGTAGGAGCGGCGACAGGGCCGCGTAGGTAGGGAGGCCGCGACGGGGTCGCTAGGGGCAGCGACGGGGCCGCGTAGGTAGGGAGGCGGCGACGGGGCCGCTAGGGGCGGCGACGGGGCCGCGTAGGTAGGGAGGCGGCGACGCGGCCGCTTGGGGCGGCGACGGGGCCGCTAGAGGCGGCGACGAGGCCGCGTAGGGGCGACGACGGGGCCGCGTAGGGGCGGCGACGGGGCCGCGTAGTTAGGGAGGCGGCGACAGGGCCGCTAGGGGCGGCGACAAGGCCGCGTAGGGGCGGCGATCGGGCCGCTTAGGGGCGGAGACGGGGCCGCGTATGGGGAGAGGCGGCGACGGGGCCGCTAGGGGCGGCGATAGGGCCGCTAGGGGCGGCAACAAGGCCGCGTAGAGGCGGCGACGGGGCTGCTAGGGGCGGCTACGGGGTCGCGTAGGGGCGGCGACGGGGCCGCTAGGGGCCGCGAGGGGCGGCACGGGGGGCCGTGGGAGGGGCCTCGATGGAAGGGCGGCCTACAAGGCGCGCCTCGGGCAGAAGCGACTGGTGCCCCGGTCAGGAAAAAAGAAATTTCAGTGGTGGGCCCAAGGAAGCGTTCCCACTAGGGAACCTGCTCTATACCATGTGAAAGAATGAGGAATGAACGAACTAGCACAAGGTTGGGTACAAGTAGGAAACCCTAGGAAACTGTACCCCATAGTGTCTACCCCACTATAGCCTAGACAAGCTATATGATATGAGTTTGACAGTACCCACCTCTTTCCTTATTCATTCATCCCTCATTCTTCACATGGTATAGAGCATGTTCCCAAGTGGGAACGCTTCTCAGGGCCCACCACCTAACTCGATCTTTTTTTCCTGCCCGAGGCGCGCCCCGTAGGCCGTCCTCACGTCGCGCCCTCCTAGAGGCCCCTCGCGCCACCCTTAGCGGTCCCTTTGCCGTCCTTTCCGGCCCCGTCGACGCCCCTCTAGGCCCCTCGCGGCCCCTTTACGGCCCCGTCGCCGCCGCTCTAGGCCCTGTCGCCGCCCCTCTAGGCCCCTCGCGGCCCCTTCGCAGCCCCGTCGCCGCCCCTAGCGGCCCCGTCGCCGCCCCTCTAGGCCCCTTGCGGCCCCTTCGCGGCCCCGTCGCCGCCGCTCTAGGCCCCGTCGCCGCCCCTCTAAGCCCCTCGCGGCCCCTTCGCGGCCCCGTCGCCGCCCCTTGCGGCCCCGTCGCCGCCCCCTCTAGGCCCCTTACGGCCCCTTCGCGGCCTCGTCGCCGCCCCTCTAGGCCCCTTGCGGCCCCTCTGCTGCCCCGTCGCCGCCCCTAGCGGCCCCGTCGCCGCCCCTGGAGGCCCCATCGCCGCCCTTCGCGGCAACCTCGCCGTCCTTAGCGGCCCCGTTGCCGCCACTAGCGGCCCCGTCGCCGCTCTTCGCGGCCCCATCGCCGCCTCTACCGGCCCCGTCACCGCCCTTCGCGGCCACCTCGCCGCCCCTAGCGGCCCCGTCGCTGCCCCTGGCAGCCCCGTCGCCGTCTCTACCGTCCCCTTTACCGCTGAGCCGCCCAGCTGCTTAGCAGCTGAGCCACCACGCCGCCAGCCGCCCAGCAGCCGAGCCGCCCAACAGCCGAGCCGCCGAGCCGCCCTGCAGCCGAGCCGCTGAGCCGCCGAGCCGCCGAGCAACCGAGCCGCCGAGCCGCCCAGCAGTCGAGCTGCCGAGCCGCCCTGCCGTCAAGCCGCTACTGTTCCTACCGGCGCGCCCCGGCCCTACTTACTCAGACTGGTGAGATCACTCCCTGCTAGGCCACTGCATTCATGGCTACCCCTAGTGTCCTTACCTTTGATACTGAGGGTCGTGCTGTTGACTTTGAGGTCTGGGTCGATGACCTCCAGCTGTTACTACAATGCGATAGGACAGACGGACTCTCCCTGTTCGATCTCACCTCTGGTGCCTCTCCTGCCCCGCCTGCTACTGCTAAAAGCACTGTTCGCTCACAGTGGGCGACACGCGATGTTGCTGCACGTCTTGCTGTGCGTCGCCACTTACCGACCACTGAGCGTGCGCACATTAGCCAGTACAAGAGTGCTAAGACCTTGTACGACGCTGTACTTGCACGCTACTCTTCCCCTGCCACTGCTGCTCTTATCCGCCTCATGCTGCTGTACCTGTTCCCTGACCTTGCTGCCTTTCCTACAATCGCTGACCTCATTACCCACCTTCGCACTAGTGACACTCACTACCGAGCTGCGCTTCCTGCTGAGTTCTGTGCCAAGAACCCCCCCCCCCCATGTACATCACCCTCTACTACATAGTCACCCGGCTCCCTGACTCCCTCCGCTTAGTCACGGGCCACTTCCTCTCAGTTTTCCCCACCACACTCACCGTTGACCTCCTCGAGGAGCGCCTCCAAGCAGCAGAGAAGAGCATAGTCGCTGTAGGAGCCTCTCGTGGTGAACCTCGCACCCCCGTCTTTGAAAGGTGTTCCCCTTCCCCCCTCTTGCCCTCTGTTGCTTCTACTGCTGCGGCCGACCTCGTTGGTTTCGAGTCGGTCGGCGCTGCCTCTTCCCCTAGTGGGAGACGCCGCACTGGCAAGGGCAAGGGGGGCAAGGGCGCTGGAGGGGCTGGCGGGGGCGGTGGAGGTGGTGGTGGAGGCAGTGGAGGGGGTGGGGGTGTCGGCGGCAGCAGTGGAGACGGAGGAGGCGGCGGTGGTGGCGGAGGGAGCAGAGGTGGCGGAGGCGGTGGCGGAGGGAGCGGAGGTGGCGGAGGCGGCGGAGGTGGCGGAGGCGGCGGCGGCAGCAGTGGAGCTGGTCGCGGCTCTGCGCAGAGGAGTGGGTCCGGTGGTGGTCCGCGCCAGCAACAGCAGCGCAGTCCTGAGACCCTGTCCCCTCAGCAGCTTCGTGAGTGATACGCTGGGCGTCCGCGGGGTGGGGGTACTGGTCCCTGCACCTACGTCCTCCGTACTAGCGACCGCGCTGGTGAGCAGTGCGGGGGCCCGCACTCCACCCAGCGCTGCTTCGGCTGCCTGACGTACGCGTGGCGTCACCAGTTCCCTGACGCCCCTAAGATCCCTCGCTGGGGAGATCTGTCTTGGGCGGGGGCTGCTATCTTTGATCTTGATTATGATGCTATTCTTGCTGCCATGTATGCTGTGTCTGATTGTGTTGTGGGTGACTGTTACCTGTGTGTTCCGCCTGCTCTAGGTGCTGGTGAGGCTGCTGCTCTAGGTGCTGGTGCGTCTGCTACCCCAGGTGCTGGTGAGTCTGCTCTCTCAGGTACCACGTCGGCTCAGGCCTTACACACAATCACCCTTACGAGACCGCACCACGCTTACGCCGCTTAGTCGGCTTGTTGCGGTCTCCCTGGCGGACCCCTCTTGGGGTCCTGTCCTTGCTAGCTTCTCCACTGTCTTACCGTGTCCATCAACCCCCTCTGGCACCCTGACAGGTCTCTACCTCCCCTCGTTCTCTACAAACTTGGTGAGTGGAGCTGATCTACAGGATAGGGGGGTTGACCAGTTCACGCCTGCGAGTCAGCGGGTGACCCACTGCACGTGTGCTCGGACGGGCCGACACTTGGCCACGTTTACCCGTCGGCCGGGGTCGAGCCTCTACACAATGACCACTTAGTCTCCTCCGGTTGCTGAGTCTAGTCAGGTAGCTACGTCGAGTCACGTGTTTGCTGCAGCGTCCAGGTCTGGTCCTGAGTCTGCTCCCTGCTCGTGTCGTCTCCTGTCCCACCAGACTCTCCTTTGGCACCACCGCCTTGGTCACCCCTCCCTGCCTCGTCTTCGAGGCATGGCCTCCTGTGTCCTTGTCTCTGGTCTCCCCCGATCTCTCCCTCCCCTACCTCCGGGGCCTGGCCCTACCTGCGTCCCCTGCGTCGAGGGGCGACAGCGCGCCGCCCCTCACTCCTCCGAGTTTCCTCCGACAGAGGCCTCACTGCAGACTCTCCACATGGACGTGTGGGGCCCCGCCCGCGTCTATGGCCAGGGTCACAAGCGTTACTTCCTGTTGGTGGTTGACGACTACTCGCGTTACACCACAATCTTCCCCTTGCGCAGCAAGGGTGACGTCACTGAGGTGTTGATAGTTTCAGCTCCGACTTTCCTGT